CCATTCCAGAAGAGTTGAAACTCGAACCCGGGTTGGAAGGGAGAGACTCGGTGGCTGGGAACGTAACGATTCTAATTCTTTAACCTTAAAGGAAAGGAAGAGGGGAAAAAGGAACGTTGTGAATTTATTTCCAGGTGTTTTACTCCAGTCTCCCGAAATTAAACATTTTTTCGAATGAAGAATTGATGAATTTGCGGAGAAGGAGAAACTAATTTTAAAAATCGAATTATTTCAATCGCCATGCTCGATTGATTTAATTATTAAATTTTCGATACATTTTTGGACGGATGTAAAATGTAAAAATTCGAGAACGTGTAAAGATTGGATTGGATATATAAAACAGAAGAATCTCCTGAATTTTTCTAATAGGGTTACGTTTAATATAGATAGCGAAGCTTTCTAAATTGTCAATAAATCGAACGTGTGATAAAATTTTAGACGAGTTGACAGATATTTTTCTCGACAAGTATGATCTGCTGCAAAATGCAGCGGCCATAAAAATTCTGCAACCTGCGAGTTTACAGCGCGAACGTCGCATCTGTAATCTCCTTTCCAATGATAAGACTCGGATGGAAAGATGTTTGGAAGAAACTACTCTGTCCAAAAGACCACTGAAACGTTAAATCACCTCTGTGAAGAAATTTTTTGAGATAGAATCATAAAAAATTTACACTAACTCGTGTAAAACTTTATGCAAGCCAGAATAATGTTTTATAATTCAACATAATTCTAAAAGAGGATCAAAAATTTTATCTTTCTCGTCCAGTTATTTATCCTTAACAAATTAAAAACTAAATTAAAAAATCATCATTATTAGAAAGAAAAATCATTTACAATGATTTATAACAAGATTTCTGCAAGAATTCAAAATGTCAAGGAATCGGTTCCCGTTGTAATCGCAATCCATCGCGCTCGTTCGGCCTTTGCAATTATGTTAGGACAGGAATCTTAACGAAGAAGAGTTATCGTTATCCACAACGCACAAACTCTTCATTATGAGCCGACCATAATCGTTACTGTCCGAGTTAAGCATCTCTGCATCGAGATCGAGTCGAGGCGAGGGGATGACGTTTAACCAGCCGCATTTAAGTTAATGGAATCCTGTCCGAACTACAAATTATCCCTCTTAATCGAATGAGCGGAAAAAGTTATTTGTCTCGAGGATCGATTTCATCTCGAAACGCAATTTTCTCAGTCGAAATCATTTAGAAGACAGTTAAATTATAGTCAAAGTTCTACTCGTCCTCTTCCAAGTCAACGTTGTTTCCCTCTTACACCGAATCGTTCTTGCAATTTATCGTTTGGTAATGGATCATTTATCAATTTTAAGAAATTCCTGTCCTGAAAAATTAATATCAGTTTCTCCAGCGAGAGACGAATTTGGTTTCAAATTCTTTTGATTCTCATGATCGTTAAAAATGCTTCTGACAAAATTAATATTGTAATAGTTGTTCGTTCGAATACTATTTCTAATTCTATTCTATTTTTAATGCTATTCTATTTCTAATAGTAAATTCACAATAGTGATTTGAATTTAACATTAAAATAACATTAAAAAAACTCTCGAGAAATTCTCGCTATGACAAAGTTAATATTATTAGTATTCGTTCGAATACTATTTCTATTCTATTTTTAATCCTATTCTATTTCTAATAATAAATTCACAATGGTGATTTGAATTTAACATTAAAGTAATTAAAAACTCTCGAGAAATTCTCGCTATGAACAATATTCTGCCCCCTCCGAAAAATGAACGGTCCATCAGGAGAAAGGTTCGATTAAAACGATCGTATCACCGATACTCCAATTAAATTATCGATTCGCGTTCGAACCACGATTTCACCTTTCGAAACCGCGTTCACGTTTCCCCCCAAATGTTCTAATTTTTCGCTATCGGTTCGTTTAATATCGTCGAGCGTATGCAAATGATTAGGCAAGGTTGAATTCAAACGAAATGAAGCGCAAAGCGAAAAAGTTATATTCGTTTCGAGGACCGAAAAGCTGGCGGACGCCTCGAGCAAAGAGAGTTCTATTCGAAAATCCGCTTTTGCAAGGCCGCCCCGCGGGCTCCTCCTACGCTCACTTCCCCTTTTTTCCATCCTCACCCTCTGGCTCAGAAGGGCAACTTGACTCGCCGATAAACGGGACGCAATTCCTTGTTTTATTTGCCTTTATCGCCGCTCATATCCCTCGGACCGCCGAATTATTGGAAAAACCGATAATAACCAAACGCGCGATATCACCGTCAATGAACTGCAATTGCTTATTGCGCGCGATTTCCGCAAGCTTGAATTTATGTCGTATGCCCAAAAGGGAGATACGATTACGAATTAAAATATCTCATTTTAGTAAGATTTTTATTTATTTTAGGTATTAAGATATCGTTAATTGAATTTTATATAATATAAATATATTTTTGTATCTAGTTTGTATTACGAAATAATGGTGGATGAAAAAGAAATAGAAATATTTTCGTTCGTAAAATGTTGCAATTCTTTAGTTTCTTCGAACTATTGTTATTATTATTAATAATGATAATTGTAATAATAGTGAAAATAAATGGAAACAGTTTAACAATTTTTTGTTTGAGTAATAATGATTTTTTTTTCTATGCTCCCATCGGCTGATCATTCACGGGTCATACTACTGTTCCGGAATGAAGCACCCTCCGGGTGCTAAAAAGTGCCATTCTGCCACATGAAAGAACTCGAAGTGGAGTCGATCAACGATGTCAATACGAATAAATCGTGAATTGTATCGAAATTTTCTTCTATATAATCTAATTAATTACACGCATTGAGTTTTTTTTTTATGCAATTGAAATATTTTTTAATATTGTAATATTTTATTATATATATTTTTTTTAATTTAGAAATTCAAATAATTAATTGTAAATTATACCCTTATTCAAAAATTTTATCAGATTTTACACAATTTTCAATCACTAAAGTCGAAAGAGATTTGAATGAAATGAAAAATAATATCAATCACGTGTAATTAATACTAATTAATACTAAATAATCGAATCGATTAACCATTTACTTCAATTAAATAATGATCTACTTCGTTTGAAAGCAAACACTAATCCTAAAATTTACTAGATTTCCAATATGAGATCACTTGCCTTCCAAACGAAATAATTCGATAATTAATCTATAAAATATACGTGCATTATAATTACCAATATTCTTTTATATTGTACATAAAATATTAAATTTACACATGCTATTACTATTCACTACACAAACAATACAATAAAATTACCAAATTATAACAAATGAAAAAAATTACGAGATATTCAAGCACAACTACCTATTTAAAACCCAATTTCGTGAACTCTAATTTCTTCTATCTAATTAAAGCCATCCAAATTACCTGCCCAATCAATCATCGCATTTAATCGACAACAATTTCACGCTTTACCCTTAAAACATCTAAATACAACACACGATCGAAACCCAGTTCTATCCCTCAACCCACACCAAAAAAAAAAAAAAAAAAAGAAGAGAATCTTCCTTGAAAATTACTCACCCAATTTATCATTCGTCGACAATAATCTCAGAAGAAACGCAAGATAAATCTTTTTTCGATCTTTCGAAAACACCCCGCGGAGAACGAAAACGAGAAAACGAAAAGAACCTGGTCTGGAGACTCGACTTTGTATCGTTGACGATCGAAATTTTCAACCGGTTTAATCGAATCAACGACCTTCCCTCCACGAGGCGGGAATCGGCAATCGGATTTTATCGGGCATTTGTCGGCCCCCCAGAAGCAATTTTCCGTGGCGTAAAAACTCTGTATCCGAAGTTGGAGAGAGGATAGTGTCCACGGGCCGGTTGGTTGTAATTGTTTTTTTATTGGCCGTCCAACCTCTCGCCAAGTCGATGGCGTTGGCGCGTCGCGTCGCTTCGGTTCCCTGCATAAAAGCGTAGGCGGAAATCCGGGACTCGGTCGGCAACCGATTGACCGAGGACGTCGTTCCGCGGACGTCGTTGCACGCTTCGCTCGTTGATCTTGGTAACGTTGATGCCGCAAATTAGCCGTGAAAACCGGGCCCCTTTGATGTTCGAATCGACATACACGCCCGCGGTTTACCTTTTATCGCCCTAATTTCTTTTGAGACCGTCCTAATCCTTTCCACGCGGATGATCCTTTTTTGATCACTCTTCACCGTCGAGGGATGTAAGCGATTCGACGTTGGCGTTTCGTTAATAACTCTTAGTCAGCGTGGATGAAATTTTTTTTGTCGAGATCGCAAAATTCTATTTGTTTAGATCTATCGAAAAATCTAGAAATTGGGCTAGCTTTATTAGTCGAATCCAATAGGAGAAGTATGGAAAGAAAGGATCGACTTATTATTAGAAAAACTTGATTTCTCTAAATTATTCTGTCCCGATGAACTGATTAAATTGCATTTCAATGAAGAAGAAGAATAATAAAATTTTCTTAGAGTTGAAAACGAGCAGTAATTAGCGTGGTAAGATTTAAAGTTAACTAGAGCGCGATAAAAGGAAGAGGGAAAGCATTAAAAAAAACAAACTTCTAATTTCGATAAAAATTAGATATAAAGAAAAAAGAAACTATTATCGTCCCTTCGAGTTAAAAATAAACAAATTTTCTTCGACGCATAAAATTTCATGCGTTAAAAATAAAAATAAAATAAAATATTTTCAATCGCTCTACAAACGTATTACAGTATAATCTCAAGACACGTAGCGTTTTGATTACAAAAATTGAAACAAATGCACGAAAAGAGACGTGCTCAAAGATAAAACACGTCAAGTATGGAATAATATGGGATCGATAAAAATATCATTCTATCTTTTTAATCATGGATGAATTTCCCTGCGGCGGATGAAACGATAAAAAAAAAAAATGAAAAAAATAAAAAAAAAAGGGGGGAACTGAAGCCACGTTAAGGGAATATATCTGTATCTATAATTAGAGATTATACGGAATACATAGCGAGCGTAATTATCTCGAACAGGCAAACATCTCACCTGGGGTTTCTCCGCTGGCGGCGAGCGTAAAAATGAACGGGGGGGAAAAAGCTACCAATGACCTCGTTTCACTGGCCACTCTTCTCCTCTTTATCCCCCTTCGCGTGCGTTTATTTACATAGCTTATTTCGTTGAAGTTTTATCTGCTCCGTGTCACTTCGTGTCCGGTTTTATTACGCCAGGAATTTTCATTGAACGGCCGTAACCTGGAACGAAAATGGAAGAGGGGAAATTGATTAACCAGAAGGATGTCGAGGTAATCCTCAAAGTCTGATGAAAATGGACTCGTGGCTTGTGAAATATCGTCCCCCGAAATAGGAGAGGATGGATACCGCTTCGAAATTCGAAATCATCTGGGGCCATGTTCAAAAAGTGTTTCTTCTCTTTACGAATTCAGATCAACGATGAAACTCGTTAAGATACTGTATGAATTTTAATAGAACGAAGATGTAAAAATCAATAGGAGGAAAGTATACTTTAAATTTAAATTATTTTTCTTTTTCTTCAGAGCCACATTTAAGTTAAAGGGATTTACAGCATCTGGGAATAATCTTCGAAGCAATTAAGTAAAGATTAATAGCTTTCAAGGAAGGGTGCAACAAGTTATCTTATCGCGAAATAATTCGATAGTAGATAAATAATTAGAAGCTCAAAGTTGCGCGTAGCAAATTCTTCTCTATAATTTCGCAGAAAAATCAAGAAAAAAACTGCGTTCACTTTCGAATCTCTCCAATTTATAATCATCCCCATCCGTCCAAATATATCACAACCGATTATATCGATATCTGAATCCACCACTAAAATTCCCTGATTTCCAATCGATCCGATAACACCGAATTTCGATCGACGACCCCCCACGTTCGAGAACAAACGAAGACAATCGCCGATCCATCGTTCCTTCTCCAGATTTGATAATTTCTCCACGGTTATGCGTAATTCCATAGCTAAGTGATGCGCTATCCCTAAATCGACGATGAGAGAGAGAAGAGAGAACGATCGGATCGATAATAAATTTACCCCTCGCTGTTAATTAAAAATCACCCCCTTTATGCATCTGGGTCGCGGCTCGAATAAACTGAATTCCGATCGATTCATCGATTTTCTATTTTTTCCCCCCTCGCGACACGAGTTGGAGGAGGAGGGGGAAGGGTTGACGAGTGTTTGGCTTAATCGAGATGAAGCGAAGGTATCGGTCGATCGGCTCGGTAAATAAATCATTGCTCATTGCACGCAACGTCGAAACGGATTGGTTTGGCTGCTTTCCAGCAATAGTTGACATCGACGACGTTGATCTTCGGTGTGGATTCAGATTAGGGTAGGTTGATCGGATATCTAGATATTACGAACACGTATATGTGCGTGTGTGATTTTGTTTCGAGTTGATTTAACGATTTAATATAATATTGTTAAGTTTAACGAGCAAATTGAACGATGAAGTTTGTATGAACTTGTTGAAACGTGTAATTAGGGGATTGTGAAAGTGTTTGAGCAAATATTAGTTTGATTTAATATTGCGTTGTAATGTTAACGTGTTGCTGAATGTTTAATTTTTTCCTTTACAAATATCACGTGTTTTGAATCATGAATAATTAATTCTCTCGCGTAATTTATTATCCGTGACTTGTATATTAATTATTATTCGATTCATTTAACTTAATAGCGTATAAAAAATTTATAGAAATGGCAATTGTTTAGACATTTTCGAAAGCGTGAAATTATCTTTTCGATACAAATATTGCGGATATTATGTTATCTTGGTAGAATATATCTATATATATAGATTTTGTTGTGTCTTTGCGTTCAATTAACTTTACGTTCAATTAATTACGTCATTTCCATCATCATCATTCATCGATAAAGTAATCACCGAAATGATATCGTCAGTATGGAAGTACCGAAATGAAACGAACTGTAAAATTACATTGCATTTTAAGTTAATATTTGTCTCGACGTAATCCATTTAATATAACAATTGATATGATTGTAGTATCGCAATAACAATATTCCATTTTAATTAATGCAACTTTGAATAACACAAAAACAACGCTATTCCCGATATACAACAATTTTTTCTTTTTAATCGATTCATTATTCCCTCTGTCCTTTATTTGAAAAATTATTTTTCCGCGGTATAATAAAGGACAGAGTGAAAATTCTAATTCAATCTATAATATGATCGAAATAACTCGTGCACCGGATTCGATATCGAATAAATTTTAATCCATCTAGTTATTGCTTGAAACTCTATATATATTTTTACATCGAACTGGAAACTTTTTACATCGCGCTGATAAATTTCTAATTTCCATATTTTACTTTGATCCACCATGATATGATCTTTCTGTACAAATACACAGACTATCGAGTGTGTAAGTAATTGCACAGGAATGATGTAGTGCTAGGTGTCGTAGATTACATCCGGCCCATAATCAAAATTTATTGAAAGTAATCCCATTATTCAATGGACATCGTAAATCAACCATCTCCTCTGCTTGCTTGTTCCGACAAGCTGTGAAATCAGGATCCCGATATTCGGCCGGAATTATTCGTCAACTGTCCAGAACTCTTTTGATACAGCTCCATTCGCGGAACAGCAATTATTTTGTTGCAACAATTTTCTATTTTAAATTGCGTCCACAACTTTTTTATTTTGTTACGCGAAATCATCTAACCGATATCATAACATCGACAAGTGATAACGATTTAAAGAAAATCACGTTTGATATAAGTAAAGATTGAAGTTATATTACAAAGAAAAGAACGACGTTATACTTTCTTCGTTATCGATATTTCAATTAAGAAATTTAAATCAAAAGCAGGGGCAAATAACGTTAATGGGATGTAAATTAAGCGTGTTACGAATATCAGTAGCAGTACACAGTGTATGCAAATTTGCCTCCCACTATACTCGTGCTTATTAGTTCAAATTATAGTTGTGCGGGAATGTTGTCGTAGCGACACGATTCACAAATAACTGATAACTCTGCTGGTGTATAGAAAATCAAACAACGGAATTAATGAATTAATATAATCGATATTATTTTCGAATACTTATAAATATGCAAGAGAGATATTTAAATTTTAATAGAATCCGATTCGCGTCGATATATTTTCTATAGATTCTACTTACTATACATCAGCAGAAGTTTGATGATTTGAGTTTTCTTTTGCACCCTTGTTTTACAATTGAACCGAAGAATTCTCTTAAATAAATATTTAAATTTTTTTACTACTACTTCCTATATAATATTCGATCGCAAGGAAATGAAATCTCACGGCTGATTTTTCAAAGAAACCCCTTCGTTCGATCGACAATTTCCAAATTAACGATCGATCCAGATTGAAATTTCCAGTTAGATAAAATAGTTAGATAAAAATAGATCTGTCTACCAACGTACAAAAACCTATTCTAAATTCGCTGCTATCATTCGACGATCGAAAAATCGAATAAATCTTCATTTTCCCTCGTTTAATACACCGTGTCGAATAACAGTGAACAGAGTTCCATTTACCACTTAAAGTGGCAACGAGGACAGGCATTTTCGCCGGCTAGCACGTTGGCTGGCGCTGGGTTTATTGACAATTTTAACAGAAATTTCGGAGGGGGAGGCGTGTGTATTCGTGAGTAATGAGAAGCGCGAGTCGGAGACAAGATTAGAACGATATCTCGCCAACTTAATCTCGTGAGCCACAATTCCCCTTTAAGCTTGTCACTGCTCATCGGATAAAGTTCACGCGATTAACGGGCAGACACGATCAAGAGGTGCTTGAACGTGCGGATAGGCCACTTTTAGGCGACTTGTCCCGAAGAAAAGATTTCACGCGAGACGATCGATGAACTTTCGATTTGAATGTAAAGACGATTATAAAGTTAGAATCATTTGCTCGCAGACACCAAAAGTAGACTATGACATATCTGAGAGAAATTTGCTTACAAATGTCTTCTTCTTAAATATAATTTTTAATTACACTGTGATAGAATGCTTCGTGCTTAAACGTAATGTAACGTAATATTGGAGAGAGAAGTCGATTTTGCGTGTAAAAAATTTTTTTGTTAATTTAGAATTATCTACCAATAAAAATCATATTCTGAAATTTCAATTATCAGGGCAATGTTCATTTCATATTTGCCGATTTAGATCGAAATCGTGAACATAATTACTCGTAAATCGTTTACCTAATTGACTTCTATTGGTCCCTATTATCAATTATTGTTAGAATTATTGTTGCTCGCGAGATACCAACTTGCTAGTCAATATATGGGGCATATTTCATTTTATTAGTCGACCGTGAAACATTCTGATTAACATCGTACTAGAATCAACAGAATTATAATGGAGAATCGCGTAATCAAACCGTAGTTCGAATTCACGATGGAAAATATAAAAAAAAGAATACAATTACGATACAATAATTTCGTTAAGAATTAGATGCTTTAATAAACGATGTGATCGAAGAGTAAAAAATATTAAGACGTTTTTAAACGTTTATTGGATCGCTTAAGAATTGCTCAAGTATATCAATTAATCGTGTTTCAAGTCGAATTTGAAGTACAAAGATTATTCTCTAACATCTTACTTTAAAAACGAAGTGCCTCAAGTTTTCCACAACTCCACAACTTCCTTCCAGCACTCATAAGCAAATGTCTCGTTTCTCTCTTATTATATTGTACGCTACTTTGATGTCTACGAGAATCTGTTAGCATAAACAGAATAATTTTGTCTACAGAAATTCAACAATGGTTAAATGTTAGATATTTAATTCGATCTAATTGTAAAACATCTATTGAAATTAGAGAATTAGAAATAACATCTAAGTCAAAGAAGCCAGATCATTTGAAATTATTCCACAGAACATTTACTGCGTTAGTCCGAACAATTTTTAAGACTATAAATTCTAAATCATTTAAGATCCCCTACTTGAGAATGATTAGGATATTTCCAACGCGGTATTAAGAATTAAAAAAATACTTTTTCCTTTTCTTTTATCAAATCAAATAAATCAGAATAACCGATACACAAAGAAATATCCCAACTCTATGATTTCCTTTATATTCTGATCACTCGAGTAGTAATTTTCCACTCGGAAAATCACCGAACGTAGCAAATCCTCCTTATTTCTTCCGAATTGTCCCCGAGTTTTCATCCCTATTGTCGCGAAAACAATGGACAACAATGGAATAAAATATCCCGTTGCGTCCACAAAA